GAGCAACAATTATTAACATAAGACGTCTGTCATTGCATGTACTGATTTGAAATGGGATTTTTTTATTTTTTAAATCATTGTATTTATCACTATGGTGGGTAACACTTTATTTTAAGGACCTGTTCTCACTATTAACTAGTTCCTTAGCATGCATATTACTAGCATACTGGCTGTTTTAGTACTTAAAGCACATACTAATGCCTTATTCTGCATGACCACATTTTAGATCCCTTAATCCTACCTCGTATCTAAACTTAACTGCCTCAGTAACTTTTAATAAGCAGCAAATTAAAAGTTTGAGGCAAAAGTTAATAGTTAATAGTGAGAATTGGTCCCCAAACTGAACTGTGATCTTAAGGTGGGAATGTCTGTTATCTGGATGTGGCTGTTAAATGCTTGCAAGCCAAGTACAGCACACCACTCTGCATGAAAGTCTCAGTCAGCTAACAGTAAGGAAAACGCTGTAAAACTAACATCCCCCAACTCTGCAAACACTACCAAAAAATAAAAAAATGATGCAAGCACAATACACAAAACATCATCATCACTCCTCACCCAGGGCGCATTTCTGTCTGCACTGTTGTTGGTCACTAAGCACAGTGTATAAAGAGAGTGTGTCCCCATACAAGCACACGTATGTTTGCATGGCCTGAATCATCAAGCTTCCACAGTATAATGCAAGGCTAAGTCTGTAGGCCTATGCTTCGTTTGAAAGCAAGAATGCAGTGAGTAGCTAATTCTGCACAGCCCAGATTCACTCTCTGATCACGCAAATTTGCAAGCTGTCCATCAACAGGCTGCAGTGGCCAGACCATTTGTCAACATTGTAGGCTGAGGGCTGCGCTTGTGAGTATGTGAGCGGATCTTGAAAGTGTCTCACCTCTGAAGTTGTTTTGAGCTTCAGACTGAGTTGTGGTGCACTCCGTGACAAATACCAGCTTTTCTGATTTGTTTGTTTAAACATGTTTCTTTTAATTTCCTATTGGAGGTACAAGGTATGGCTTTAGTCTTTTCCCAAGTGTGACTAAAATCATCAAGTAACATACCATTCTGAAAAAAATTCAAAAAATTTTTTTTTGCCACTAACATCCACAGACTACCAGAGGGTTAAATGCATGTGCCCACTGTGCTTTATTTTCCTAAAGTCACATGGTCGCGGTGGCACCGATGCTTGTGCCCATCATCGCTGCTTGCAGCTATATTTTCATTTATGACTCTTTAAACCAGCATAACATTTGTAAGACAGTCAACGCTTGCAAATAAAAAAAAGACAATTTTTTTATATAGAAAATTCGATAGGAGTTGAAATATCAATGAAGGAATTTTATTTCACAATTTACAGGGTATCTGCAGAATTTAAAAAAATCAGTTTAAGACTTTTTGTGACCCTTTTTAAGACAAAATACAAATGAATAACGTATGAACAGGGTATGGCAATGTCCATGGTAAAATATTAAACTAAAATGACAGATTTACAGTTCAGATACAGGTTTTCACAAAAGTAAAAAATCTTATAAAATGATAAACACCACATTTCAGCCTTTAAACCATTAAGAAAAGGGATGAGTCAAACATATACATTATTATATTATTTTAAAATATGAGCAATATCACATGAGTAGCAGTGCGATATGGCTGTATATTGGTACGGCTGTGATTTGGCCGCATGTAATCACAGCGTGCCGATATACAGCCATATCTCACGGCTGAGAGTGTGATATTGTGTTTATGCAACAGTTCGACGGCACGAGTGTGTAAATACATAAGAAACAATAACGGAGTGTCTTTAAAAACCCTTTTGTGCAGAACTACTTCCTTCCGCCACAGATTCAAATCTCAGTTTGACAGTTTAACAGCTGAGCTCAAGCCTCCGTTACTAATTCGAGAACATCACTTTAGAACTAGTAACGAAGGAACGTTGAGTTGCTTCATTGAAAGCTTATTGTATCACTGTATTAAAAGCTCTCTGTATTATATGTAGAGTATTATGAGAGAGAGATGGACTGAGCGAATGTGATTACCTGCATCTGATACAGCATTCATTCTTCAGCTCAATCTCATATTCACAATAAAACTTGAATGTCTGCTGAGGAAAGCGATATCTTTGTCGTACTGTCCTTTCATCTGTTAAGGGTGATTTCCAATGACAGTGCTGCTCACTGCATTTGTTAACTGCGTCTTACAAGCTGTTGTTGAAAGTAAAAAGAACTTCCTTGTTTACAACCCTGTTTCAATATAAAAGTCTTTACTGCAGACTCACTCAGAAAAACAGTCTAATGGGGGAATAATGTTACTAAAATCACCATCACGAACACACACAACGTTACCCAGTACTAAATACTATTATAAAATACTACTATTATTTATATAAAATATTATTTATGAATAATTATATTCAATAAAGAACAACAACAGCCATCATAAAAGTTGCTAGGCAATTCAGTCAAAAGTAAAAAGGCAAAACTATTTATAGCGAATTATAGCTCATGTATAACCACAATAGAGACAGAGCCAGCGGCAAATTCCAGACGAACTGGCCGAGGTGAGGCTGCTCTCAGCGGATTCATTAGCGCTGAATGGCCGCTGACGCCCTGGAGCTCACATCTCCAAAAACGAAGCAAATTTTCAAATAGATGTTATCTTTATTAACTCACTGCATATTTGAAGTCTAAACAAGTACATTCTTGCCTAAAACACTCTTAAAACTAAAACACACACAAAAAAAATAAAATATTTATAAAATTTTAGTGGATTTGGGCGTCCGCCATGACACTCGCTGTGAGAAATACTGCAAGCGGAGTGATATAAACGGTGAAACGGTTCGCGTTCCGATATCAACAGAATATCGCACTCCTCTCAGCCAATCAGATTCGAGGACCAGAAAGAACTGTTGTATAAAAATGTCTTAATTGTTTAGATTTGTAGAAGGTAGTGTTTATTTTGTCAGCTATTTTTAATTTAGTCTTAGTCCTGTGTCAAATGTAACTTATAGTTTTCATCATATTTAGTCAACTTGTCCTTAGTTTTAGTCGACTAAATGTCTGAGAATTTTAGTCTAGTTTTAGACTAACGTACATATTTTCGTCATACTGTATAATGGTTAAAATGATGAAAAAAATATATTTTGCTCAATTTTAATTGCAATGATTGTTGTCATTTGGGAAATTTATTTTTACATTTCATCATCAGTTGCTCTTTCACCAATAAGCACAAATCAATAGAATACCAACTCGCATGCATGGTTTATTTTACCTCATCTAACATTAGTGTACAGATTTATAACAGGATATCAATTAGAGGCTAAATAAACACCAAAGATTTCAGATATGCACTCGCCCTGTCTACGTTATGAAAACTGGTGTAACAAAAACTTACTCTCAAATATCATAACAGAGAAATTTCTAATAGTAATTCCAATAATTCCAAATTGCATTAATGTTTCTCTTTTAAAACAATGGCAAAAAGACTTATTGCTGCACAGAGGTGGCGTAAGTAACGTTACAATCGCAAACAATACAGTCGAGATCCATGTCAGAACACAGACTGGCTGAATGACACTTTCATTTAAGCAGAACACCTCAAATAGAGATCCCTGAACTCCAGCTTACTTGTACAGTACTGTATGTTGGTGTTTTCAGATCACGGCGCCTCCGCAGAGAGAGCACGTGTGAATGGTTGCCAGATTGCATGAAGTAAAAAGCTGGGCAGAGTACGTATCCGTTTAACAGAAAAGCTCTGATTGGGGGATTTGAGGTCTTGATATCTGGCAACTGCAAACATGAACGCTCGCGTAACAGAGGCTTGTACAGCAGTCTGAAATATTTTGGCTCCATTTCTTTCAACAAAAATAAAAGGTTTTGTTAAAGTTTTTGTTCTTTTAACTACATTTTAGTCTCGTCTTTTTTCGTCAATGATATTGCATGTTCATTTAGTCTCAGTTATCGTTTAATGACCTTATTATTGTCTCGTCATCGTCTCGTTTTCGTCAGGGGAAAACACCTCGTTGACGAACATTCTTCGTCATAGTTTTCGTTAACGAAATTAACACTAGTAGAAGGCACATTAGATTCTTTCACATTTACAACTCTGTGCTTTTTCTGTGTCAAAATATGGGTCATTTTCACATTGTTCTGAACAAAAACAGTAGAGGGGCTTACAGAAAGTGCAAATCACTGATCTGTATGATCAGTGATGCAAATTATTTTTCAGCCACTTGGTGAGTCTATTGAAACAGCAGAAATACAGTGGTTTTCCCCAGTAACAGCTGTACACAAAGCAGCGTTGCACTCATAAATGCTGCTTTAGCATGCATTATTGGAAAGATGAAATGAAAATGCCATTCAAGTTTTTCTGAAGACAGTCGGTTCCCTTCAGATGTACATTCATACAAAAACACTACGCCGCGTTTTGACTTTGAAACGTACAGCTCATATTTATTCAATGAAATCACAGCGATTCTTGTCTTTCCGTCCCCAAATTTAAGACCTTTTGAAATTACAGTTAAGACTTTTCTTATACAAAGTAAGGTATTTAAGACTTTTATGGCCTTAAATTTAATACAACTAAATTGAAGAGTTTTTAAGGACCTGCGGGAACCCTGTATTAAAGATAGCCCGTCGGGCAGGGCGGTGATACATTTTGATCCCGAGTGGCCCGAGTGGAAAACACAATAGCCAGGGACGTCGGGGCTAGCAATTTTGCAAGCCCTGCATATCATGCTAAAGATTTTTTCTAGCGGCCTGGTCAGGTTAGCGGTTCAGACTTCCCATTCCAAATGGTGGTCCAATCTCTGTTGGACCACATGGGAGAGACTTTAAATGTTTAAACTGACAAGGCCTAAAAGTGAACAGACACCTATTTAGCTCTTCAGGGAACAGTTATTTAGTGGTAAGTGGTACATTTATAACCAAAATGCTTGCAGCAAAAAACCCTTAAGTGTACAGAGTGTTTGTTTGTTTAATTTTGTGAATAACAGATGGCAATAGCTTCTGCGCTCTTACCTCCCAGTCTAGGTAATCACCAACATCCTCAAAGTTGGTGAGCAGAGACACTGAGCAGAAGAGGCGCGGCAGCTCGTCCCTCGTCATGGGGGGAAAGCGACTGTCTTTAAGGGCACTGTGAAGAGGACATGAAGGCAAGATTTACAATTAAAAAAGTCTACTAGGGTAGACAGCCAATCTCAGTGAACAAGTACTTATGAGTATGAATGCCTGCACACATTCATCTAGGGATCAGTCAGAATGACTAGTTGCCTAACAACCTAGTAAAGCTGACTACTGAGTTTATCTAGATTCATAGGCACAAAAACGGGCAGACACAGGAGAGGAGGTGATAATGTCTCAGAAAGAGAAGACTCCATAAGGAAAATCCATCACCAAAGAAAGATCAACAGTGAGAGGAGGAATAAGAATGTGGGTTTCCTTTGGCAACTTTTCTGTCAGTAACAATACTAGCGTTTCTGTAGTAAGGGTAGCTGATTCAATCCAGTTCCCAAGAGCTGTGATACTGACAGGAGACTGCGTTCAAATGCTAACACCAATGCATTTCTTGGTAAAAATGGCCATCTTGCAAGGTATTAATGAATACACAGCCAGTTTTGTCTTAAAGAAATGGCTGCCAACCAAACAAAATATTAGAAATCAATGGAATCTAGTGTCATGCTCCAAAAGGTTTATTCAAAAATGGCAACACATTAATAACATTATAATGGTTTATCATGGAACATCTGGACCACGGTTGACAGTTTTGTTTTGTTTTTTTGCTCAAATATCGGAATTGATGTTGTCGATTGTGAAATTTAACTGGAATATAAATTTTTATTTTGTAACATTTACAGCAAAATAACATTATTCATATAATGACATAATTCATATAATGATGCTCTATCATGTTTGTGCGTTGATCATCAATCTTAGAATGGCATGAGGCATAGGTGTTTTCTGCCAGTGTGTATCAACCCTAAATAATAAATGAACGAAGGTCAACATCATTATAGCATTTTTTGAGATTAGTGGCTGATTTTGGGAACAAAATGAACTAAACTTAACTAGCCACTCTAAAAAGGCATTTACGTGTTTTACCACCCGCAGGGACCCGATGTGAGATTTACCAATTAGAGAGGTTCCCGAATGTCAATCAGTTTTTTAATTGGTTAAAGTTTAAAGAAGAATATCTCATGTTTTTCTATGGGTGCTCTGCCATTCCTCAGGGAACCATGGGATCAGGATCGATGGCATGATGGTGACTAAATGAAGACAAATTTTTATTTTTTAAGGTTTTCAAATACATCGCTAAGAGCTGTGCCAAAACGCACCTACTTTCAAATCAATTGCTCTGTACTCCATGTAGCTGTCCTAATGAACATATACCATGATAACATTTCCCAGAAGTCCACTTTGCTTGTGTTTTTCTCCACTACTTCATTTACCATGAGAAGCTGATTAAAGCTGGACTATTCCTCCATCAGTGTGTGCACAGAGCATGATAAGCTATTGGTAAGGTTTGTTAGCTCTTGGCACATTTAGGCATATTCAGGAAGTAGGCATGCAGGATATAAAAACAAAACATTCCTTCATGAATGACTCACCAAAAATATCCAACAGGGCTTGGAAAAATATGGGGAAAAAATTCTAAGAATTTGAGAATTGCATTGAGAATACTGACTTGCACTTGACTGGAATAACCATGCATTTTTGTGATTGGATCTAGTCACTCTAAATCAGGGATGGGCAACTGGTGGCCAGTACCATATTATAGCCTACTCTGGTCAATTTTGATACATCTGAGAAGTGAGATTAGGTAGGATGTTAATTCTAACCCAAACCAGGAGAAGTCGCTAGTTCCTGTCCCTCACCGTGATCACCGAAGTAATTACAGCATAGTAGGATGTGTGCGCTAATGTGAACAATCACGAAAATGAGCAAAAAGAAAAGACAAATTGACTACGAAAATCGTGTTTTCCAGTCGAGATGGAAAACAAAATATCTTTTTACCGAGTTTAGGGGGGCCCCCATGTGCTTAGTTTGTTTGGAAACAAAATCTGTGATAAGTCGCCATTACACCACTGTATGAAAAATACATTGGTGATGCCAGAGTTGCTCTCATCTCAGATTTAAAAGGTAAATTATATCATCAGCAAAACCTTTTTGCCAAATGCATGATGGTGCAAGAATCATTACTAAATGATTCACTAAAGGCATCTTATGTGGTTTCACTTGTGCTCACGAAAGCGAAAAAGACGTTATATCAGAGGGCGAAATTGTAAAGCAGTGCACGATTGAGATGGCTAAAGCATTCGGATATGAGAAAATGGCCAAGAACTTTGAATCTGTATCCTTGTCACACCGAACAGTAGCATGTCAAATTTCTGACATCCAATGTCAAATCCAAGAAAAGCCGAAACACACAATCAACAATTGCAGATACTTTTCTCTTACGCTGGATGAAAGCACAGATGCGACCGATGTCAGTCAGCTCCTGATCTTTTCAAGAGTGATCACAGAGAACTTTGATATTTAAGAGGAGCTGTTAAACTTGGCTTCATTACATAGCACCACAAAGGGAGAGGATATTTTCAAAGCTGTTAAGAATCCGGTAAGTGAGTATGGCGGCTTTGCTAAACTGTCTGCTGTTGTTACTGACGGAGCACCAGTAATGCAAGGAACAAAATCTGGACTCGCTGGGCTTCTTTAGAAGAATGACGATAACTGTCCAGTACTGCACTGCATAATATATCAGGTTAATAGGCTTATTTTTATTTCAATGTAACTTACATAAAATAAACTTATGTTACGTGATCGGTAACAAATATTATTTGCTACAGGAGGCCCTGTGTGCAAAGACTCTGGACTTCGGCCATGTCATGAATGTAATGATGAAAGTCACTAATCTAGATGCGCGAAGATGATCCGGAGTGCAAGTTTTTTTTTTTGTCAAGTATAGAAAATAAATCGGAAGTTTGCAAGAGCGATTCAAAATTCGCTCCCAGGACTTTCACGACATGCAGGACTTTCCTGAACGCAGCTGTCAGTGAGCAGCCTGGAACTCTGCGAGCTTCAGTCTGACCCCTTCTTTCAGGCCAGGCGTAATGAGAGGGGGCTTGAATTTTGGGAACTACTATCCGAGTCCTGTTTTCCCTTCAGAGATTTTGCACTGTTAATGCACAGCATCTTTGGCAGCACTTACATCTGTGAAAGTAGTTTATCAACAATGAAGCACATTAAATCGAAAGAGAGAAACAGGCTGACAGATGACACTCTCTTTCAGCTACTGCAAGTTGGCTGTACAAACTTTGAGATTGACATTGAATCAATTGTGCACCAACAGGAGAGGCCACAAGTTTCTCATTGAGATGTCTTTTTGAAAGTGTGAATGTTGTCTGAACTGAAAGATAAATGCATGTGTTTGTGGGGGTAGAATGCTATGGATATTTAGCACTGAACTGTTATATTCTTATATTCAGTAAGGGATCTCTTTAATAATAATATGTGGAATTTGGTATGTTTTTTTGGTATGTATATTTAATATGTTTTTGAATAAGCACTTTCAGGTTATTAGGGCTGCCCTCGACTAAAGATTTTTCTGGTCGACTAGTAGTCATTCATTTTAAGCATTAGTCGACTAATCGCAATTAAAGACTTTAATTGCATAGCCTAATAAGCGCTCAAGCGCACACATAAAGCTTGCCACAGCACACCGGCAGAAGTAATGATGATGAATGTGTCAGGGAAAAACAGTAAGGTTAAACTGCATTAACATTTTAATAACCTATTGATATACTATTTTCTGCGATTTCGGCTAAAGAGATAAATTCGGTGACACTGACTCATCATCTCCACAGTAGTGGATGCGCCTGCATGCAAGTTTCATACGGATTACATAATCTGAGAATTTATTTTATTTTTTTTTCAGATTTGAATTGTTTCATTTAAAAGTAGACATTTCACTCTCTATAGATATATTTTTCATGTCTGTAAGGCAAGTATACACTGAGTTTCGCACTGAAGTTCACAGAGGCCGATACGGCAGAAAGTGCATCCTGTCTGCTTTCATTATTTTACAAAAGCGCAATGTTTTGTTGTTATCGTGAATGCACACAAATAAACGTAGAGGCTTTACAGATTTGAAATATGCATTACTCTTATCCGTATGACCAAAATGACAGAGTATTTTAAGAGCAAGTGACCGCACCGGCGCCTCCATCTGTCATGATGTGAGCGTGCGACTGTTCAGTTTTCACACTCCGCACAGACACTTGAATAGCGCACATTTTTCTAGGTTAACATTAGATTGAGCAGCCATGTAAAGTTGCTACTAACATATTTCAGATGATAAGCCATATTTGAGGTCAATGATTGATAGGCGAGCGTTTGGATGTACTGTCTTACCACAAAAACCAGCCGTTAATGATCGGTCCGTCACGGACTGCGTGACCTCACCACTTCCTGTGGATTTTTTGTTTCTGCGACTAAGCGACTAATACAATTTTGGTCGACCAAGCCTCTTCTCGTCGACTAAAGGTTAGTCGACCATTAGGGGGCAGCCCTACAGGTTATGTTGAGAAAGTTCTGTAGGCTACTAATCAGAAATAGGACCACTGGCAAATTTAAAGGCAATACAATTTAAATGTTTACATTTACTTGTCGATGAAGTTGTCCATTTGAATTAGCATAATTGCAATTTTAAAGTTAAAATTATAAAAAACACACACATTGAATTAATTGTACATTGATTTCCCTCAATCAAGAAAATATTAAGGAAGACGTTGTAAAATGTTTGAGTGTGAATTAGTAACCTGGCCCCTTGGTATAAATGACGAAAATTTTCTGGCCCTCATCAAAGTTGCCCATCCCTGCTCTAAATAAAAAATATCTAAATACTATCCGGATATGAATTGGATGTTAATGCTAGGTGACATGCATTAGCTTGTGCAGGGCTCGTTATAATATACGATAATATATAATATACAAGTTCTGATTGGCCAATCGATGTCATGTAGTTTGTACATTCTCATTATTATAGAGAATTTCAGTATTTAATTTGCATGTTTTACATACAACAACATTATTAATCTAAAGGTGATGGTGGTTTTACAGAGGGGATGTTTTTTGTCAAATTTTTTCCACAAAGGGGGATGTCATCCCCCTCAAATCGAGCCCTGCAAAAAACTCAGTGAGTGATAATGTTGATGGCGGCAGTGCTGGCTTCATCTTGTAAGCAGCAACCATGTCAAACAATGCAACTAACTTAAGTGGACCTCAGGAAAATAATGTGCACTTTTGCACTTTATTTGTGGCCTCTGGACAATAAATTAATGTGAGCTTTTTTGGACCACTTTTCGTGTGCGGATCTTATTTGTTTTTTTTATCTTTGAGGAGCTACACTGCCAGAAGTTCATGTAGTTATTTAATTGAGACTTGTGTCTGGCACTATGCTTCTCCAGTCTCTTCATTTGTATTCTCTTTGGCGTTGCAGCCCCCACCCTTGGATTTGGTCAGTGACATTATGTCCACCTTTGCAGAAATCAGGGGCCTTATAGATATAGAAGGGGATATAGAACATATACTTTTTCTGGACTCTGGACCCACAGATTTACCAATCTCTATGGATGAGGACTATAAGAAGAAATTGAAGTTTCTATATATGAAAGAGATTTGATTACAGCTACACAGTACAACCCTGAGAGAATATGTGAGAGCGAAGAGAATTCCTAGAGGTTTGCACAACCAGAATGTATCGACTTTAGGTCATAATGATGAGGACTTCTGTACCAAATGGTGCGAAATTCTCAACAAAGCTTCTTTGGAACTAATGGTTTTGATAATTGAATACACTCAACAAGAACGGTTTAAAATTATGCAGGAAACCACTGATCTTAAAGAAATGATGATTTTGTCTGTTGATTCTTCTATACTACTATTGATTGAAGTTGCCTATATGAAGAGATTTATTTGATTTGTGTTACTTATTTATTTGATTAGGGGCTTGTTTTACATTTTTTTGTTTTTAAAACTTGTTAAAAAGTTTTGTTATTTACATTTACATTATATTTAAATTTTGTTATTTAGCAAACACTTTTATCCAAAGCGATTAACAAATGAGGGCAATAGAAGCAATCAAAACCAACAAAAGAGCAATAATTTACAAGTGCTATATCAGTATATTATTATAGTGTTATATTTCAATTTCACAAAGAAACGTACAGTATTTTGTCCAAGCAATAATAAAAGGACACATTTAATTTATAATTTGTCTTAAATCTCATTTTGTTAAAAAAAAAATTGTGAATCGAATCGAATCGTGAAATCAAAATCGTGAATCGAATCGTGAGTTGAGTGAATCGTTACATTCCTACATTCTACCATTCATGACTAGCTTGGAAGCAAGGTCAAGCAACTGCTTGAGAAAAACATGTCTAAGATATTCTTTATAGGCAGTGCATGTACAAGTGTTAGTTAATGTGCATAGGCAACTTCAAGTAAGCCAACTGCAGATTGACTTCCTCATGAAAAGTGTAAACCGGTGGATGAGTCCAGTACAGCCTGCAAGATGGTTTGTGGAAAAAAAAATAATAATAACAAAAAGAAAAACAAATGGTATGCTGGATGTGAGACTCACAATTTATTATTATTATTATTATTATTCCTATCAGTAGAGATGGAGTGCTATTAATGTGGAGCAGAAAAATATTAATTTAGCTACAATATTTGTTGTGTGTTAAATTTAGGTTTAAAATTCGACATGTAATGCAAGTACTGGTGTTTTTATGAGAGTAATAACTAATCAAAATAAAATGTCAGATTTCATGTGGTTTGTGCAATTCATACTTATCTAAGTCACATTTGTGACTCACAAAATTCAGATTTGGGCCACTTTTTCCGGCAGTTTCAACACAGCCTTTAACAGCCCTGGTATAAACACTATGGTGCTTTTAAAAGTCAGGGCTCAACAATAAGGACTGCCTGATGGCCCGGGGCCAGCGTGAAAGATGCTTGGGACAGTTGACGAATTTGTCACTGGGAACTTGTCACTTCGTTGCCACGAAAGTTGATCATTTGCACGCGTTTTAAAGCCTTGCTAAATAAAAAATTCAAGCAATTTTCAAGCATTCAGGCAAGACGCGAATGACAACTCCATTTAGTACTCACAGCGTGCACACAGAGAGATGTCGCAACGTGCGAACACCCAATTGAGTTTCTTTCGGCACCTTCTTGCACTTGAACGGACAAATACATACAAAAGTACGCCAAAATATCCATCTTGGCGAGTATCTTTGTAGCTAGCTTTAACAATGATTAATCTATGATTAATCTGACATTTTTCGCTTTATTTCAACCAATCTCTGTTCCGGGCTTGCACACAAACTGCATGCAATCATTTTCCAAAATGTGTGGAAATATAAGAAGACTGTAAACGGCCATTAACACAGGCCAGAGACACTGAAGACGGATGTAAAGATAAAAAAATACTGTAGCAGGCAGAGCAAACTCACTGTTCACAATGCGCGAAATATTGGAAGAAAATCCTGAATATTGAATTGGGGGTTTATCTGCATGTATCTCTGTGGGGAAGTGACTGTTTTCAGAAAAGTTTACATGATGTTTTCTTTTCATATTGCATCTAAAGTATTATTAATAAGCTTTGTTTACAGCGGTAACCAAGGAAACGCTGTATCACTGCTGTTCCATAAGTGCCACCTGCTGTCAGAGAGTGAATCTGCATCTCATTCAGTCCGTCTGCTGTTTTTCCTAAAGCATCCTTTCATTTGTATCTTTCTTCTATATATTCAGTTCTGCTATTGTTTGTAATTTGTTCATTTGTTCTTATTTACTGACTGTTCACTTGTCTTTAATGATGTTTGAACTATATTTGTTAGGCTAGTATTTTTTGCTGTAGTATTGAAATTGGAATCAAGAGAAGTAAAATTCAATTGCTATCTAAAATTTGTGTCATATAAGCTTATTGATTAGAACAAAAGTTAGCATAGGTCAAAAACAATGATAACAGCAACTTTTTGTGTGTGTGTGTGTGTGTGTGTGTGTGTGTGTGGCAGGGCCATTGAAAATATTGGCAGGGCAAGTAAAAATTTGAACCACTGGCCCAAGCGGGTCAGTAGAAAAAATCCTTAGCGTTGAGCCCTGAAAGATATTTTAGAAAAAAAATTCAGGCTCAACCAATGGTGTGAGTTTGGTGTGGGACAATGTGTTAACTAAATAATAGAAAGGGAGCTGGAACCCCCCAAAAATAAAATAAGCAAGCTTGAACATGTTATTTCATGATATGAATGGAGACACATTACAGAGAGAAAAGCTGAATTTCAAAGACAGATGTGGCATACCTGGTAAGGGTGTACTCCCTGAGTCCTGAGTGCAGGTTCATGGCAGAAAATGTACCTATACAACCCCTTAACCGCTTGTCCCGGCCGATTTTCCAAGTGACAAACAGTGGGCTGTTGGAAAAGAAAAGAACACCTAATCAGAATGCAGTTAGAATAAGCATATAATTCAAGGTATAAAAGCAAAAATATCCCCAAGTAGGATTTTTTTTTTATTAGCTATGATATAAAGTACTATCACACAAGCAAGAGTGCAGTTTTCCTGAATATCAGTGTGCGAGTGCAATCGCAAATGTGACAAGTGTCAACAAACAAGTCATTAATATTGAACGAGTTACATTTTAGACACAATATTGTATTTTTATTTATTTTTTTGGCAACAAAAAGGTTTCCAAACAAAGACGAAGCAGAACATTTGTGTGTCTCAGGGCAGCAATGCTATGTTTCGTTCCTGAACAAATCTGTTTTTGGAAGAATCGCATGAACCAATGATTCAATGATCCATTCATAAAGACAGTGTCTGCATCCAAAAACACATACTTATCGCATTCTTGTGGAAGTTTCTAATTCATAGTTTGGCCATGATTTAACTAAAGTGAGGGAACAAATTCTTTATTTGTGACCACATTATCCTTCATCACCTTTTTTATGTTTAAAGCATTACGTTTGTTTCCTTTTCTCTTGCTTTGGCATGAAATATAAAGTGTAGGGTGCTGGAAGATGTCCTTCTCTAAACTTTTTCCATTTTCTGTACAGTGTACATTAATGAGGAAAAAAAAATAACTTAAATGATTTTAGCAAATGGCTGCAATATAACAAAGAGTGAAAAATTGAAGGGGGTCTGAATACTTTCCGTACCCACTGTATACAGAATCCAATGGTTACTATCCTAACAGTCTTAGTAAGACTTCCAAGCTCAGCTTTAACATTAAAATAGAGTTAATGAGAATGAGGGTTAATGATATATGGCCTGAGGTCGCTGTCAATATTTAACTGCTCCCATGACAGAAAATTTAGGCCACTGTTTAAAGCACAAGTTGAATATCAGTTGATCATGATGGAAATTTAAGGACTGAGCCCTTTGGCCATGAACAAACTGGCAACGGTCTTTTAAAGCACTGGAAAAATCAGGGTAAAGTCTAAACTCAGTGAGCATGTTTACATGGACACAAATATGCTGATAAATACCAAAAATCTGTTTTTACCTATTCTGATAACTAATCGCAGCAATTGTTTTTTAGTGTAATTGTTTAGTATGTTGTTTTTTTTTCATACAGGGTGTACTTTTACCCATGACTTTAGGTAACGTTAAAAATTATGTACAAAAAAATCCAAACACCCTGTTATATAATACATGCAAACAGTAGACCTATTATTTAATTTAACACGACTAGTTAGTATGTGGCAACCTTGAAACAGATAATGGTGTGTCTTTTGATAATTGATGTTAATAGTGCTGTACTTTGTCCAGGTTCTTTGTGGCCAAGTAATCAGAGTAACAAAAATAATCACTACACGAATACTCTGGTAACAAGCAGGCTATATTCGTCGGCATTTTTTGGCACTATATTAACGGGCTGAAAAACAGTGACAGCTCTAGTCGGGGACAGAACACCAAAAACAGTCACCGCGTTGTACCCAGCTTTTGAATATGTTTATTAGGCTATTGCATTCATACAGCGAACCTTTCGCTGATTGTTTACAACATAATGAAAGTTACTCCCATAGTTTGCGCAAAGGGCCACAGGGCTTAGAAAAAAGGTGAATAGCAACTGAATTGCTATAGAAGACATTTCAAAAGCTCTCACCCTGACAATTTCAGAGTGTCAAATTTCATCCTCTGACTTTTGACCACTATCTAGGGGCCAAGTACTGAAGGTGTGTGAAAGCACCTACATTGTAAATGGTAATTTTCCCATATTTGCCATTTTGGGTGTCTGCCATTTTGAATTTTAACTTTAAAAAAATAATTTTTACTAACGCATTGGCATATCGTTACAAAACTCAGTACCATGCCCTCCGCGCCATGTCCTGAAGATACTCAAGTTCCAGGGCAGCGCCACCTTGTGGTCAAAAGATATATATATAAAAAAGTGAGAAAATGCTAGTAGTTTTTGATTAATTTTGTCTATTGTAATGGATCTTGTCTTGATAGATTTCTTGGGTGATAGATGTCATGGCTGCCTTGAAGACATTGAGCTATACAGGCACATGGCCATGCAAATTGTGGATAGAGACAAAAGACTGAGGTAGTATTTTCATAGGGATCAGCATAAAAGAACAGTTGTCAGAATAAAGCCACTGCTGTCATGGAAACAAAAAGAACTAGAGGATCAGTGACAGTTCCTCAGAAACACTCCAGCATGTTGCAGAACAAAAACACCCCACAATACCCTCTGTGCATTAAATCAATTAGCACTATGCATCACGCACACTAAACACAGAATATTCTCAGCTCTGGAAAACCCACAAAAGGACAAAAGAAATCTAACTCGGGTAAGGCATGTGGTGAAATCCTATCACCACTTCCTCAGTCTTTGAAAGTACTTTTAGTTCTTTAAAACCCTTAGTTAAAGTGCCATGAAGGTATTGAAGGTAACTCCAAGTAAATGAAGTAAAAAAAAAATCCAGAAACACAACATAAACAGTTCAGGTTGGCTATTTTAACAGAATGTCTAATATAGGCACTTCCCCAATATAACAACCTCTAGTGGCAGGAAGTGAAGCTGCTCAACCTGTAAGAGGGGTAATGGTCACAAAAATTATATGTGAGTGTATCATCAAACCACCCCAAGCCAGAGATAACCCTGAATGACAAGCGTGCCTGTGACAAGCAGCCCATCGGACAAGGTTTTCGTTTCTAAAATATTCAGTTTGGCTGCACTTTATATTTATTAATATCCTACAATCTGTTAGCTTTAATTATTGAAATGTTTGAAGTTTTTTTTGTTGTTGTTGTTTTTAAATTGACTCAGTTGGCCTTAAACTAACAGAACACATTAGCTTTCCTTTTATGTCTGAGTTATAATAATTTCCACTGTTCTTATCGATTTGTGTTTGAAATTAATTGCATTTCATGAGGCAAATCGATGGGGGAGGGGGGGGTTTGTAAAAATGTGTAATTTCTACAAATTATTTTCATAATTTGTAAAACACATTGAATAAAAGGGTCTGATATATTAATAAATGGAAAATGATCAATGCTACATAGTCACATCTGTGTGAATTATGTGTGTGTGCACAGTCCAAATAGAGGCAGTGTTATTATAAGCAGAGGAAGGAACTGCAGTGAAGACATTCATTCATTCATTGCCTTGACTAACCGGATAACATAAAGATCACTTTAACGCTCTTAAAACCCAGCACTCGAACTGTGGCTCGAGTAAATCGCTTTGTTTTACCACACAAATACATAATCATTTACAACACACCAATTGCCATTGAGAAAGCTTACCTGAAAGAGTCCTAGATAACAAAGAGTAGGTGTTTAGCGAGCGACAAAATAGCAGAATATTAACCCATTGTAGATGTAACACTTAACATGCAAGTTAAATATTCTTTCGTGTCCTGATATCATGTGTTGTTGTACCTTCGCATAAGCGTGTGACTGCAAATTGAACGAACAGTACTGTGAGAGGTTTCAAACGAAATATCTGTGGGAAAAGTAAGTCGTTAGCTTACTAGCTCACTTCAGCTAACCATTGGCAGCAGCTTCACGTTGAATCAAAACGAAATTTTTGAAAAATCTAACTAAATAAGAAAAGAAAGCGAACCTGAGAGCTAATAAATAGAAAAAGGAAAATATTCGGCGAATGAGAATCGTGTTTGTTGGCTAGCGTTGGTTAGCATGTTAGCTTGCAGAGAAGCTTAAAGAAGAGCAGGCTAACACCCATTTAATCTCTTTCAGAGAAAAGAAAATTGCTTTACCGAATTAACGAGCGCATTAATGACAGATTAATTGTACTCTCAGTCTTCGAAATTACACATCTAAAAAAAACTTTTAACCCCACATATTAGATTTATTTATCAAATATGTATACTGATTCCAGTAATTTGACGATTCGTAAAATGTATATAATTATACTTTATTAATTACTTTTTTATTAGAAAACTTGAGTTTGGAAACATGACAGTAGCTTTTTTTTTTTTAATCGAGAGGGCTTGGATTAGCAAGTAAACTATTAATTACTGCATTTGGTGTGTATGGCCATAAAACAAAGTAATTATCATGACAATAGCGGCATCAGAACGACACAGCCACGAGCACGAAGACTTTAAACTTACTGGTTCGAGCACAGCGAACAGGAAACACACAATCTGTTGTTGTTGCTGTAGCAAAGCAGGTCAAAATAGCCATCTTGCTAACGTTACTTACTAGGGGTCGTTTGTAAACCTGGGTGTTCTAGGAGGCTGGTATCCGTATAGATGGCAATAAAGCACGTCGAAGCAAAAGCAACACATCTCCGCCGAAACGACCATTTTCCTGGCAACCGAGACCACCCGTAGAAATCCCACTGCGTCAGCACGTACGACGGACAATGCTCCACCTTCCCTTGCTTTGACAGACGTAATAACCGAGAGGAGCGTACGTTATATCTCCCCAAACAGAGAGGGGAGAGACTGCAATGTCACCCGATATTTTAACTTCGAAAAGACGTAGCGTACGCTGCAGCCTTACGTAATGTTCTTAGGGAGACAGGCAGCCGCGAGCCTCCGCAAATTAAACGCTTCGACGGAGCCAATGTATATTTGCTAGAGTAGCAGCCCCTCCTTGGGATGCGCTGTGCCAGCTGCAACGATGCGCGCAGGAATCTGTCAAAAGCATGCACGCGTCCATCCATACATGAAATGACAGTCAAGCTTGGCAAATATGTGGCCCGTAGAGCAGCTCGGATTCAGGTCTCCCTCTGAGGGAGTGGGGATCTCGAGTACGCAGGACCCACACACGCCTCATAAACATTAGCCGACCCGAGAAGCGACGCAGTCAGAGCGGCGTTCAGTCGATGCGTGACCTCACCATGCCAGCCACGGCTCCACGCTTCACACCGGCCTTCGGGACCCCGTTAGCCGCACGACCTTTTTTACTGCAAGCCCGCCGTGTAAACTGAACCCAAAAGTTTTCCTTCGACGGATCGGAGCGCTGTCATCCGTTTATTCTGGTACATTTTCGCGCGGCATAATAGCATGGCCTCCGTCAGAAGTGGATTCCCCCGGTCTCGCTGAGTGTTCCGCTCACAGCTGCTAACATTAGCTCGGTTGCGGTGGAGAAAATATCCTATGCGATCATCTGAAGCACTCGGACTAGTATTCTCTACTTTCACGCCGGAGTACAGAGCCCAGGACGTAGTTTACGACAGATTCCTGCGTGTCATACGCATTTCTCCCTATTCACGAACCACGTTATCACGGCGCCGTTTCTTCGCCGAGGGACACAGACATCCCGCATTTGTTATTCGCCGAAACGCATAAATCCGTTTATTATCTTGTCATCCTTAGTTAAAGTCTTCAACCTAATGAAGAAAGAACGGAGCCGTTAGAGAGCACCATGACCCAGCATCCAGCCCGTCTGTAACCGAACAACGTAGCCTATGTTCTAGTCACCGAACAAGCCGAAGTGATGTCGAGAGTCTGCACTCATTTTTTTTTATTTCCAAACTCACCAGACAATAGGAAAACAGCCTGTCCTCACCCTGTCTAAACGCACACACCCACGGCTCACAGGCAGAGGAAACCCTAGAAATATTGGGGAATTATTTTTTTCCAGGCATGGAAAAATAAAGTAATGGAATTTAATACCACCTCAAAATGTCTTTATTGTTACAGAACATTTAATTTTAGTGTGTGGCCATCAAAGACCAGCCAGAAAATATAAATATGAAAATCAGAACAAACACAACGGGTTCAGCACCTTCAGCGCTTGGACTCCTATTGATATAGGCTATATTTGTATTAAAAATAATTTTACACACTGCTATTTAATAATTATTTAATTTTTATTCACTTAATTTAAGTGACCTGTTTATTTATTTATTTATTATTTTTCATGTAAATTGGGAAAAGTAAAATACATTTCCTGAATTTCCATCAAAAAGAGTTAAAATGTAATGTGTCAAGTTGTAGCAGCAAAAAAGAGAAACTGAAAAGAAAATGTATGCAAAAAATTGTCATCACTGTTGATTATGTTTATTATTATGATAGTGTCAATGAAGGAGGAAGGATGTAGGCCTAGTTCTCTAGATTCTGAGTATTCACAACAGTCATTTTAAATAAATGCATTATTGGTGCTAGAGAAAAAAAAAGTTTCATAAATAAAAGAATAAGAGAATATTTAATTTTTAAGATTTTTAATTATTTTTTGTTGTATGAAAGCAGCAAAACACAAACAAATCGCAAAACAAACTATAGGCTACTACCATAATGAAACTGAACTATCTGACATTTGAAAATACTGACAACAAGGTTACATAAAGTCATTTAAAGCACTAAGAAAGCATTGTGCAGATACTGCCATAGGAGTCATTTCTTGATGACAGTTGCATGTAAAATCAGAGACCACAGACAACCATGAATTGGTCCAGATCCAACAGAAACTAATGATCTTTATTTTCTCTTTAATAGTCTATTAAGAAAACAAATAAAAGTAAAAAAAAAAAAGAAAAAGTAAATGGGCTACTTGATAGGAAAACAATGAAACTTCTTTTTTATAAGCAGTTGTATCTTTCACTAAATGAGGTCAAGATTTAGCTAAATATTCCTAATACTTATTCCCAAAATTTGTAAGTAAAGAAAACAACAGAAAAATGTTTTACGTTTAGAAATTTTTTAAAGATATTTCTGCATTTCTGTAAATTACAATTTATAACTTAGTAACATATAATGCATTATTATATTAAATATGAACATTCAAAACGAATAGCCATGAAATTATGAATCTGAATTCATTTGAATATATAAAAACGAATGATCTGTTAGTAGTATAAGCTGTGTTTAGATGTATATTGTTTGTGGCTAATTAGAAACTGAATTTTTACAATAATTTTATTTTTATGAAACGAATGTATATCTACAATAAAGTAAAAGCACTGTTTTTTAATGGTATTTAGACCATATTAACCTCTTAGTTATACATAATGTATGTTACTGTGGGCTTTCACACACACACACACACACACACACACACACACACAGGTCTCCAGCAGGCTATGTTTTGCAGGGGAAGAGCTGGCCTCAAATTTAAAGGTGAATGACGCAGACATAACACCAGCAGCGGTCACTCATACTTCATCAAATAATTAATAAATAGTTACCTTTTGCTGAAATACGTAATACATTAATCAGTTACATGTTGCTAAGGAAGCTGCACAGTGATAAATCTGTTCAGTGAAGCGGTCAGCCGTGCTGTATATTGACCAATCAGCTTTTATAATTAAATGTAAAAATTTTGATATATAAATAAAAAATGTATTATTAATACCTAATGCATTATTTAAGTTAAGATTAAGTTAAATCGTTTCAGCAAAACTATGTACAATCTAATGCATGAGTTGGTGCCAGATTGGTGCCATCTGGTGTGGGGGGGGTGTACTGTCATTGTTTAACCACTAGAAGGCTGTGAATCATTTATAGATGTACAGTAAACAGCGATATGTAATAGTTGTTGAGATGATCATTTCCAGACACTACTATTATTATTAAGCTGTGTATTAGGATATATCGGATAAATCGGGAAATTAAGAGTACATCTTTCTTTTTGGTCCTTCACAACAAAAACACCTAAATAGCTTGAACAGGGTATGTGGATTGTTTTGTGCAGGATTTTTAATGCTACCTATACACCCTGCATGAAAAATATTAAATTATTAATGTCATTATATTATATAAAAAAATATATATTACATTAACATTTATGCAAAATTAGCATACAATGCAAAGTAATAAGCCTAATCAGGGATAGTAAAGATCCATTTGCAATAACACAAATATAAAATGACATTTACACAACAAAAGCTACTGGAAACATTATACTCACAGTTTATGAGAAAATGTTAAATACAGGTGTACTTTTCATATGTTCTCCTATTTACTGTTTTATTTGTGTAATGTATTTTTTGTAAAGTCGTAATTGTGTTATAATAACTTGATCTGTTTTCTATTTGCAATGGTTACTATTTTTTATAGTGTGATTTTTGGTGAATTGCATCGAATCAATTAGGTTTTTAATACAGGCATCATAATAATTATTGATTATAATAATAGTATAATAATTAGTTACAAAAATGTATTGTCCCAGTTTGGATAGAAATATGAATATATATGAATATTATAAAGTTACAAAGAATTACATCCCCTGTTTTCAAGTCCCAGAAACGCCCCTGGTAACAGCCCAAGGTAACGGCTGAGATTTTTTTTTCTCAGACTGTTGTGAGGGGTAAATCGGGGATCATGTAATGTGGACCCAGCTTTAGAGCTGATCCACACATCACTACTTTGTATTCTTTGTTTTGCTCTCTTGTCGCTGCTGTAATGTGCTCATTATCAGTTTCTTCTGAGACAGCGCTGTCATTTTGCTGCCTCTGTTTTTCGCGTTTTCACACTCTAAAAAATGCTGGGTTAAATACAACCCAGTGCTGGGTAAAGTAGGGACAAACCCAGCAATTAGGCTGTTTTGACCCAGCGGTTGGGTTAAATGTTTAACCCAACCTTCTGGGTAGTAACCCAACCGCTGGGTCAAAACAGCCCAATTGCTGGGTTTGTCCCTATTTTACCCAGCACTGGGTTGTATTTAATCCAGCATTTTTTAGTGTAACAGTTATGTTCTTTTAGTTTCATTTTCATGGACTTTTTAGTTTGTTTCTCATCACTTTCCTGTTTCCTTTGTTCTAGTTCTAGGCTCATTTTACCTGCTACACTCAAAGTAAATCAACACACACACTCTCTGCTCAATATTGACAACTTTTTTTTTTTTTTACTAAATAAAGGCTTTAAATAATGTTGTTGCATATTCTTATAACTATCCCAAATGACACTGGTTTCCAAGAGCTTTATTGCCAAGTGTGCTTATACGCACAAGGAATTTACCTTCGTGTGCACACATATAATAAATATAACAAGACTCATAATAACATTTAAGGATAAAGAATATAAAAAAGAATAAAGACACAGACAGATTTAGTCAGAATAAACAGTTACAGATAATGAACATTTTTAAGGTATTGTTAATAATAATATGCAGTTGTGTATAAAGTACACCCAGTGATGAGGCAGTACACAAGACAGCTGACGTGCTATGATTTCTGACAGACAGTGCACTCTCCTGTGATGTGACCCTGTTCCCCTCACACACACACACACACACACACACAAAGCGTTACTCTGCGCTGCACAAAACTCCGTATTTCAACAGTCAATAGCAAATACTTTTAACCCTAACCTTAACCAATAAACATCTGTGAGGCACCTTATTTTTCACTTTTCAAATATTTCCTTCATTTTTTTATTGAAAATAAATTATTTTCCGATGTGATATGTGACGTGAAAAGGGAGAAGGAGTTCGGCAAAAGGCGGATTCGAACTCGGGTTCGAATAGGTAAAAAAAAAAAACTGCTAAAATTATGCTCTTTATTACCTATGCCACTGGAGTCGTTGTATGAAAGGTGTCTTTTGTAATCTTGTGTAACCCAACCACACCTTGGTGGGCGGAGTTAGTGTAAATAGCCTCTGCTATCTCCTTTTCCCACCTGAGCACCACCTAAGTCTTCTCTTCCCATTTCTACCAGTAATGCTTGATTCAGCTTCCTGCGTCTGCTACTGGTTGTAGGTTGCCAGGTTGAGGTCACGAATGGGTTGAAATTTGTATGATTTAATAGTCCTTTTTAATAGTAAAAGGACCAGCAAAGGACCAGTTTAGACCAGCATAAACCAGCAAAGGACCAGTTTAAACCAGCAAAGGAGATTGCTGTTTTATCGTGTCTGTTCGGATACTTGAGCATAACAGATGCTATTCGAACCACAGGTGAGAAGATCTGTTGACTTCATTACACAGCCTGAAGAAATGCAGAAATAAGTGACTCTCAGTCTTTGAAAGTAATTAACATGCTTTAGGAATGAGTAGTAGGTTTTAAAACACTTGATTTGAAGCAGGCAAATATGTAAAATTTGTATTTAAGTTTTATGCACATTGCGAAACCCGATTTACAAATGCTGACACCACACTCCCTGGCCTCCCTTAATGATCCTCTTGAATCCTCTAGTGGACGGTTTCTGTCCGGTGAGTCTGGAGGTCGTGCCGTCCCGTTGAGGATGTTCTTCTGACGAAGACTGCCCTGGAGGAAAAAAAAAAAAAAAAAAAACACACACGCATGAGTAACGCATTGGATTCAACATAAGTTTTAAGCCGATACTTAGCTTTTTTTTTTGTTATCGTCTAAAGTTGGTTTGCATTCGTCCGTTATGGTAGTTAAGCACAGGAAGGCTTTACAAAATAAGAGGAGTAATACTTAGAATATAATTCACTCTGTAGGTAAAACTTTGTTCAGGTTACGGCCAGGGCCGCGGCCAGGGCAGCGGTCAGGGAAGTGGCCAGGGCCAGGGCAGCGGCCAGGGAAGAGGTTACGGCCAGGGCAGCGGTTACGGGCAGGGCAGCGGCCACGGCCAGGGAAGCGGTCAGGGCAGCGGTCAGGGTCAGGGCAGCGGTCAGGGCAGCGGCCAGGGCCAGGGTAGCGGTCAGGGAAGCGGCCAGGGCCAGGGCAGCGGTCAGGGAAGCGGTTACGGGCAGGGCAGCGGCCAGGGCAGCGGTTATGGTCAGGGCAGCGGCCACGGTCAGGGCAGCGGTCAGGGCCAGGGCAGCGGTCAGGGCAGCGGCCAGGGTAGCGGTTACGGTCAGGGCAGGGGCCAGGGTAGCGGTTACGGTCAGGGCAGCGGCCAGGGTCAGGGAAGCGGTCAGGGCCA